GTTTATTTGTTTTTTGTTTTAAGTTTAAATCAAATGAAAACCACTTTTTCGTCGTTTTGGCACAAATCCGTGTCATGTAATTTTCCCATTGTTATTACAGGAAAGGCCTTATGTGTGTATAGGCCTACATACATTTAAAAAATGAGTAGTTGCATACGTATTATTTTTTTAATGATTCGATAAGCTCCAAATTCAAGGTTTTCCCCCTCTTGATTCAATTAATCAATGAACCCCAAAGAAAAAGGGGTCCGGGTTCCCCCGGAAAAATATTGATTCCTATTCCTAGGTGGGAAATGAGTTTTCCAGACTTCTGAGGTGTATTTTAATTACTTTTAAGTTCTTCAAAATTCAAGGTTTTCCTCTCTTGAAAATTTTTATGATGAATCAATGAACCCAAAGAGAAAAGGGAGGGAGGTTGGGGTTCTTCCTGGGAAAATTTTTATTTCTAAATTGTGGGAAATAAACTTTCCCGACTTTTGAAGTATCTTTCAGCGATTTTAATTTAAGTTCTTCAAAATTCAAGGTTTCCTCTCTTGAAAACGGTTAGGTATTTTTCCACTTGTTATTACAGTACATAGACCTTATGTGTGTATACATACATAAAAAAATTGAGTAGTTGCATAAAAATATTTTTTTCATGAATCGTAAATCCCAAAAAGAAAGGGATCCGGGGTTCTCCCCCTGGAAACTTTTGATTCCTAGAAGGCGGGAAATGAGCTTTCCCGACTTATGAGGTGTCTTTTAATTTCATCAAAATTAAAGGTTTTCACCCTCTTGATAATGATTCAATGAATCAATGAACCCCATAGAAAAAGGGGGTCCGCTTTCCCCCGGGAAAATTTCGATTTCTAGAAAGCGGGAAATGATCCTTTCCTGACTTCTGGAATGTCTTTTTGAAGTTTTAAATGACTTTTAGAGTTCTTCAAAATTCAAGGTTTTCCCCGTTTGAAAACAGTCAGGTAAATTTTCTCATTTTATATTTTATGAGTAGTGTTGCATGCGTACTCTTTTTTCCATGAATCGATAAATCCCAAAAAGAAAGGGTGGTCCGCGCCACAACGATCCAGTAGCCTTGAACTACACGTTCTATGAGATAGCGAGTGTCTCATAGTCCTCACTGTCAGCCATCCACGACTTGCGCAGGCAGTGCTTAGAGCCTGGAAAGTATGCTAAGCATCTTGATCGCTAGATGTCCCACTACACTTCAAATCAGGTATGTTATTATGAACAAAGAGGCCTAGAGCTTCATAAGTGTTAGTTTTTAAACTATTTCCAGGGGCAGATCCAGGATTTAAAAGAGGGGGTTCAAAATGTTTTCCAAAAATCCCCAAAATGAAATGGGGGTACTGGGGTACGGTAACTTCCCCGGGAAAATTTTGATTCCTAGATGGCGGGAAATGAGCTTTTCCGACATTTGAAGTGTGTTTTAATGACTTTTATGTTCTTCAAAATTCTAATTTTCTTATTGTAACATAAAAAAAATAAAAAATAAAAAAAATCAGCTCAGGTCTAGAATTCATTTTTTGTTGTTGCCAAAGGGAGGGGTCAGGACCCATGATCCAACAATGTGAATTGCGAGAAAATGTATCTCGGTCGGAGGCTGGATCATTCTATTTTCCATCCTTCTCCTTCTTCTTCCTGCATTTCCTTCCGGTCATATAAAAATGATTTGACAGCCCTCCCATCCCCATTCTGCCGGCCATGAGCTCGAAAACCCCTGTTGCAACGATCCTCACGAATAGTTAAAGCCCCAGGCAGTCTGAATTTGTAGTTCAAAGTTATTTTAGGGAGAGGTACTGTACTTCCAATCAATTCCTAATGACAACATTACTCTAAAAACATTTGTTACATAGTTTTTGTATGATATATAGGTCAAATGTTCAATTTTCATTGAACATTCAAAATGGCCGGCAATATGGCAGCCAAATATATTGCCACGTCAATGTTTTGTATTTAAAATATAAAACAATGCTTAAGTGTATACATTTGATTTTTAATTAATAAAATATGGTATACAAATTAATGATTTTTTTTTCAATCCAAGATGGGCACCAAAATTGGGAAGTCAAGGTTTTGTATTGAGAACTTAAACATTGCTTACAATATACATTACGAGGTTCACTTGATTTTTTTTTAATGATTTTTAGTTAATAAATTATAAAAATTAATGATTTTCATGAAAATTCAAGATGGCCAACAAAACGGCTGCCGATATGGCCGCCAAATGTTGTGGGAAGTCGTGTTTTGTATTGAGAGCATTGCTTAGGTCTACTGTGTAAATTTAGAGGTTCACTTGATTTACTATGATTTAGAATTATTAAAATATACAAATTAATGATTTTCATTTAAAAACCAAGATGGCCGCTAATATGGCCATCTTGGTTTTTAAATCAAATCAAGGTAATTCAACAGAAGGACGCACATCTCCGCTCTCAAACATAGCGCGTGCGTACAGTCCTTTACTGTGGCATCGACAATCCGATACTAGTTGCGAGTACAGCCGTCAATTATTAGTCTATGCGTGCCATTCGTTGTATGGTGTTAGTTTTTACTTTATTAATTTTGGGTACTTCGTAATGTCTGTTACATCTGATTTTTTTTTACTGCGAGCTTGTTAAATGCTTCTATAAGCTGCAATTTGATTTGTAAAAATTGACCAAGAAAATGAAAAGTTATAGCAATTTAAAATTTACGAATTTTATAAAATTTCATGTTCTTATGTAACATTAATCTGTCATTTTGACAATGTTGGCATAAGGTGCCGAAAACTAACATTTGAGTATATACAGAACATTTATTAATTTTTTCTGCGATGTGAGTCTCATGAACGACAATTCATCACAATTTTGGTAAAATTAATGTTGAAATGAAGAATATATTTGTCCTTTATTATCATTAGGCCTTTGTAATCACCGCACGACGCGCGATTATCATGGCAACTAACACGCGCGTGGGTAATTCGTCACGTACGCTGACGGTTTATGGTCTGGTTGCTTTGGTTTTTGTGACGTTCAGCGTGTAGGGACGCAAGTGCGCCTAGAATGTCGATGCCAGAGTTATAACCATTGATGTCCCGAGATGTGCGTCCTTCTGTTTAATTGTCTTGGTCAAATCATGGTCAAATCAAAGATACTAGAAATACAAGATAGAGTTCTCCACACAAAAAAAGTGTTCCACCGTGTTCCACCGAAATGCATGGTGGGAATACGAAAAATGGGACGCCCCCTACAGCTGGATCTACAAAAACTTGTGCCAAACTTTCGTTACCAAGTCGTCG